TTATGAGTTCAGCCGTAGCTGGTTATCCTTAGACATGCTCTAAAACTCTTTAGATATGGATTTTACAAAACGTCAATGGGAGAAATGAATGGGAAATTTACTTCCGGCACCAAAGCTCTCTCGGGCTGTGTGCGGGACTGTGATGCTCTATAGAAAAGATCCCTGCAGACCCTGAATAATTATTTTAAATATTAAATAATACTATTTTCATGAAAATTTAAGATTAGTTCAGATTAGAAGATTAGCATACGAGCCCCAACCCAGGGCCTGGCTCCAGGGTGGGGCCCCGGCTGCGCTATACCGGGTGACGTCACGGTCCTTGAATATACTTCTTCCATAAGAGGTTTTTGAACCACTCTTAGTCTGACCCGTCGCCTAGGACCTGTTTGCCTTGGGAGACCCTACCAGGGGCATATAGCCCCGGACAACATAGCTCCTAGGGTCATTCGGGTACTCAAACCCCTCCACCACGTTAAGGTGGCAGTTCAAGGAGGGGAACTCAACATTTAACATTTAATACAACTGAATAAATGTTTTTTAAAGTTATTGTTTTATGGATATAATGAACAACCCTTTATCTATTTACAAAACTTAGTTTACTCAGTGTATCGTTTTATTGAGGTGTAGCTTACATGTGCCAACTGTGTTAAAACCATACTGTACACAGATAACAACAGCTGAAGTTTGCTGCGATTACATTGCCTATAATTTTTTTAATACACATTTATACACGTTTGTCTTACACAGAATAGCATTGAACTATAACTGGCTATATACATAAACAGCATTGGCATTGGTTTACGTTCTTGATCAAATCGAAAAATTACGTCATTAAGTATATATACATGAAAAATACATTTACACAATTAGTACATATACAAATTCAGGTCATAAATGTTTGTACGCATTTGTCGTAGACGCATAATAGCATAACTAAGTGGCTATAAAGCCAGCACTAGCATTCGATAAAACTAAAACATTACATCTGAAATACATTTAAAATGATTACGTATTACTTACAGGTTGTAGCCCAACAACTGCTGCCTCTGGTTTTAAAGTTGGAACTGGTTCATGTTTTAATAACAGTTTCTTGTTGAATCAGGTGTTGTGCCGAATTCTGACCCCTGCCAAATTATCACCCCCCTAGTATTGGTAGGCTTTGGATTAGTTGTGGGGGAGGGGTTAGGATTATGGGTGGGGTTAGGATTAGGCAATCAGGTACTGACTTCAACGAAATTCGGCACAAAATTCGGGATTCGGAATTCGAAATTTGGCACAACACCGGCATTGAATTCGTGGAGATTCTGGAAGCTGTCTTTTGTAAAATGCGCAGCACAGAGAGCTAAATTACAATTGTAATTTTCAGGAACATTATCAAAAATAAGCTGTATCCATTGTTGACGAACTACAACATCCATGGGAAGCCCAAACATAGAAGACCTGGCAGCTGGGTGAAAATAATTAGATGAGCTGCAGAAATATGGCCATGGCCTTTTTTTTTGCATATTCCGGAGGGAGGGTTGATGCAAATGTATGGGTTAGTTACGGATAAAACCCGTTGTAGTCCCATTTGAGTCGTTTTTGTAGGCATTAAACTTCCTGATTTTTAAAAGACGATATCTCTGCTTACACTGAACTTTCAGCGCTGCAACTTTGCAGATACTATTCATGCACCAACAGCAACATTACACACTATTTAAAATGAAAAAAGTGAAATCGCAATCAACCACCCCTTTAATCACAGTTGTACTCATATGCATTCAATCACACATGCACTCATATGCATTCAAGTTAAATACATTATTACTTAAATTGAAAATACATTATTACTTGATTACTTGTTATACTGCTTGATATTTTTAGAGTCATTAAATTTAAACTTTTTTTGAAGATTGAATGCACATTTTCAGTGCAATGGAACCAATATGAGTACAACAATGAGTATATTTCTATGAACATGTATTTTGAACTAGATATTTAATTTTTTTTTCCTTTTCGTAATCAATGATATTGCTGTATGTAATTGACTCAAATATTATATTAATAAACAAATAAAATTACAGTGGTAAAAAAACCCAACAGTCATACTCATTCGTGTTAACAATTTAACTGCATGATCTTTATTTTACCCTAGCCAATTCTGAAGAGACGCAGTGAAAGTATGAAATTGGAGAACATCCAAAGGCTCAGCTTGAGTCCTAAGATGCCTTTTTCCTCGTATGAGGTCCAGTCCATTGACCCTGCCCTGGAGAGAGGACCCTCTACGCTACAGCTGCCTAGAATTCCTGACCATGTCAAAGATAGACAGGTCTGGCCACTCTACTCATAAACAACTCTGGCAGATGCCTCTTATAACATTAGTAAAAAAATGACGTGCTTTTAATGTGATGATTTTAGGTGCAGTTGACGCAGGGCTCACTCATGATCCCATCCCCTCCTAAAAGAACAAAGAGCTCATCTAGAGGTGGTCCTGTTACAGTTTCACCTCTGAACTACACCCTTTCTCCACCCCTTTTCAACTCTGTAGAGGAAGTAATTCGTGCTAAAATTCACTCCCCAACCGACATCGTTCAAACCATCAGGAATAACCCTCACTTGGGATTGCTCTATGTGACGTCTGCAGCACCTAAATCATCCATCAAATATGACAGATACAACCTCAAGTAAGAAATCCTGTTTTTGCAATTATTTAGAGGTGTGGTTGTACACTACTGTTCAAAAGTTTGGGGTCAGTACGATTTATTTAATGAAATTCATCATTTTAAATTGATCAAAAATGACAATAAAGATTTTTATAATATTTATATTTCAAATAAATGTTATCCTTTTGAACTTCGTATTCATCAAGGTATCCTGGAAAAATGTTCTATGGCTTTTTATAAATTTTTTTTTTTTTTTTACATTGATAATAATAAGAAATGTTACTTGAGGACCAAATCAGCATTTTCTAATGAATCATGTGACACTGAAGTCTAATGGCTGCTGAAAATTCAGCTTTACCATTGCAGAAATAAAATACATTTTAAAATGTATTCAAATATGTTTTGCCTAAATTCATAATTTAAGTTCAGTTAACCATTTCACTAATTTCATCAAATAAAGGTTAATATTCAGAAACCTTTCATTTGTATTCTAAATAATGTGTGAAACCACATGATCACTATCAATGATAGTAAAGTATGAAAAAGTGTATGGAAAGAATATACACATGAACCGTTAACAGTGTGTTAAACCATATCTTTGTCTCTAAATACTCCAATTATTCTTTCAACAGGATTGCAATGTTTGACAATGTCAACAAGTCAGACTACTATACGGTCAGTAGTCATGCAGTGATGCACTACTGTGGGTCTGAGGTGGACTACTTGCCTTTGGAACACTGGGTGCAGGAATACCAATATCACCGGAAGCTTTTGCACATCCCCGTGTTTGCCCTCTTCCGAAAGTGGAAGGCTTTTCGTGTGTGGCGTTCCAATGTGCGCTATAAGAAAATCAGCCAATGCAGACGCTCATTGCAAGAGCATCTCTTCATTCTTAATGAGGTTTTCCAAAGTTTTTTGTATGTGAATTTATATTATAGATATGGGTTTGTTAAAAATTTGTTAAAAAAAAAAGATATATCAAAGAGAGAGACTGTCAAGGTTTCTCCTTGAATCCATCACCCTCTTTATAAAAAGACAGCAAAACGTATGGTGAAAATGATCATGTCTGTGTTTCAGTCTCTGCAACCAGCATTGATTGACATCAGGGAAATGTGTTACCACATCAGTGACATGCCTCTGTATCGGCTAGAGAAAGACCACACATACATGCTTGAGGAGTTTCAGAGTGCACAATACAAACAGCTGGAGGAGGTGAGAGAGACTTGAGTTTACATGCGTTATACACACGTTATAAAAATCCCCAATAAAATAGTTCTTAAAATAACCCTTTTTTTTTTTTTCTTGGTATGAAGAACATTTTGAATCTTTTGTGCAATGGAAAGGTTAAGGATTTTCATGGAACTTTAGATCCCAAAAAAAAATCTATTATGTTCGCTGTACAGTGGGAAGTGTCTTTTTTTCTGTAATTTATGATAGGTTATTTTTGTGGATCCGTGTTCTAGGTGTCCTCCCGTCTTGAAAAGTTCAGAAAGCTAGCAATGGAAGTGGCAAGAAGTGCCTGTCGAAATGCTTTGAAAGAGTTTGGACACAGACCAGACTACGGCGACTTGGAGACTGGTGACAATTTTATCCTGATACACAAGCAATTATGTGCCAAAAAGCTGGTATATTAAGAATTTGAGTGTTTTTTTCTCTTACATGCATGTATCAGACGGTAATGAAGAGTTAGCATCACCAGATTTTGGATTGTTCTTTGAAGACACACCTGAGAAGATGAGTCACACGCAACAAGCAAACAAGAGATACTACTGCGAACGTCTTACTTGGTTAGTCAACATTTCTTTCTTTCTCTTGATTCTTCTCCTCATCATCACCTGCTCATTAATTTTGCGGCTTCCATTACACAGACATTTAGAAATAAAAGCGTAAATGCTTACTTCCTCCATAACCACACGAACATTAGTGCAACAGTGTGCCGCGTATGATGTTATTCTTGTTCTTTGGCGCATGCGGGTTAGTTTGAAACATGCAAACGGTTCACATTAGAATCAGATATAGGTCACATTTTAAAAGGTAATGTGAACAGCTAAACCAAAAATCGGATCTGAGCAAAAAATCAGAATTGAGCATTAAGACTTGCGGTGTGAACGGGGCCTAACTGAAGGATGGCCAAAACCAGTGAAATATCAACTGATTTGATAACTTTTTGTGTTTGTGTCATATTGTATTACCATTTTCTACACTATAGAGAATAAACTGTGGTAATGTGAGAAATGTTGAAGGTGTCTGAATAAATTTTGTTATGGTTTGACTATATGTATGTATACATACTGTATATACAGTCAAACCAAAATGTATTCAGTTCTTTCACAATGACAGTAATAGTGACCCCTCTGTTAAGTTACAAAAAAACTAATTTTCTTGGTGAACTGTCTAATATTTTTCTTGGTCTCCATAGTTTCATCAGAATGGCTGATTATCTGATTGTGAACACCACACACATGCTTGTTGTCAACTCAGTCAGTAAGCTACTGAGTGTGTTTCAGGAGCAAAACACACACACCCCTTCATTCGCCCTCATCCAGAGCTGGGCAGGCAGCGAGACCAGCCAGGATCCTGAAATAAAGGTTAGTATGCTAGTTAGTATGTTAGTACACAAAATAAACATCACATATTTATTATCAACTGTTTTATTGTGGTGCATTTTCAACCAAGCTTTAATGCATTTTTTTTTGGATAAATTTTTCATTTAGTTGATTAAAAAGCAGAAGAAAGTAATTTCCACCACAGAATATTATTAACAAACAATGCATAGCCTAAGATGTGGTGGAAATGACATTTTGTGGTGTTCATGTTCATTTTGTTTCAGAAAAATAATCTGTTTGACAAACCTGTTGAACACCAACTAGTGAGCCAGAACTAATAATACCTTTAAAACAGTCAATCATGTTTATACTTAAATGTAGGGTTTTGCACAGATTTCTGTGAGGGTTACTGTATGTAGGGGTTAGGTTATGCGATAGAAATCAGTTACCTGATATAAAAACATTGGAAGTTTGAGATGTCCACACTAATATAGTGAAACAAACATATACATACTGTATATGTGTGTGTGTGTGTGTGTGTGTTACAGGTCACAGCAGAGCAGAATGTCATTGCTCCCCACCAGCCAATGTTCATAACTGAGCTGATGCTGGACACACACTCCTTATCATACCAGCCCTCTATTGATGACTTCCAGGTTTGTGTTTTTAGGCACACTATCAGTTTTTGTGTGTTTTGTGCAAACATTGCAGCATGCCCAGTGTGTATATGTGTACACTACAGTATGCTTATGCTTTCCATGTGTTTGTGTGAACATCAGGAGTGTGTAGCAGAAATTACTGGGCGGTTTGAGAAAACAGTTTTGTCTTTGGATAATCTGGTGCAAGACACTTACTTTGATGCTTTTACTCAACCAATTATCAACAAAAAGGTTAAACTAGACCAACATTTACCTCTTCAATGTATAGTACACGCTCTTTTATAATCTGACCCTGGCTGATGTGTGTCTGCACATGCTTATGGGTGGTATTTCAGGTTGAGGAGAAGACATGTGGGAACGGCCCTCGTCTTGCAGAAATCCTGAAAGATGACACATATCTGCAGAACATCATCCTCAATATTAAGGTTTTTATTTTATTCTAATATGACTATGACCTAAATGCAGTAAGAAATAAAGAAATAAACTGTTTTCATTCACCATTTTAAATTAAGTTAAAAATTAGAGTTTTCCAAAGGAAGATTAAAGTGTATATGTGTGTATATATATATATATATATATATATATATATATATATACCAGTATTTACATTTTTTTAAAACAAGTTAGAGAAATCATGTATTGGTTTCTTTAATATCGTGTTGATAAGTGTCACCATTTGGTATTTCTAAAGAATAACACCCAAAATTGCCATACTGTAAACAACTGTTCTCAGGTAATGTAACTTACTTACTGTTACAAAGCTGGAGATGAGATGAGATCCATGTGCAGCTTTATTTAGAATCATCAAACAGGCAGGGGTCAGGAAACAGCAAAACAGGGATATCAGAGAGTGAGCGCAGAGAGTCGTCAGGTAACAGGCAGAAGATCAGGGCAGGCAGCAAACAGGCAGCAGTCAGGAAACAAACCAGGATCAAAACCAGAGAAACCAGAAACAGGAGATACGCTCAGAAATTACAAGCCGTGGCAATGCAATACTTCGCAAAGAGTCCTTGTATGAGTGTAGCTTATATAGGCAGTCTGAAATGAGGTGCAGGTGTGTGTGTAATCAGTCACAGGGAAGAGGCATTATGGGAAACGGAGTTCTGGTGGGAGTGATCAGTTCAGATGTGGAGTGCCCTCTGGTGATTCTCTAGGGCACTCCAACTGGTGATCGTCACACTTACAGTATTTAAATGTTTTTTTTTCTCCATGTAAAGGATCAGTCTGTTCCATCTAGGGTTTCATGACTAATCTTTCTTTGCATAGATTTGCATACTTGAGGACATTTGGGAATTTGTTAGCTACTGTTCTCAAATGAGAAATAATCAGTGTTAAGGTGAAAGGAACAGTTGACCCAAAACTCAATTCATTATTTACTCACCTTCATGTTATTCCAATCGCACAAGACTTCCGGTGGAAAACAAGTTAAAATGTTTTTTACTTTCTCTCATCATTTTTGTCCATCCATTAAAAGTTTACGCAACCAAAATGTTCATGTTTCTAATAGTACAAAAACAAAATAACCAATGGAAATCTCCACACTCTTGTTTATTTTCATATTTTTCTCGATAATTGGATGTGCAAATTATGCATACTTTTCTCCAATTTTTCTAGAAGTGTAAAATGACATTGTAAAAGTAATCCAAATGAATCTAGCAGTTTAATCTAAGTCTTCTGTACATACAGTACATACACTATAGAGCGCATCTAATATGGTAAAAGGAAGCTCCACCATGCTTAATAAATGAGAAGAATCCAAGAAAGAACAATTGGGATTTCGTGTTTATCATGAACTTTAAAATGATGTGTTCATTATTGTCTCTAATTGTGAAAATGTTTTATGTTTCTCCCTCTCAGAAATCTATTCAGACTGCATTTGATACCGCTAATGTGTATGCTCGTACATTTGAGCCATTCAGACTGTTTTACAAAGAGAATGAAGACCTGGACCTGGAGGCTCTCAAAGAGCAAGACCATGGTACATCATCATCATCATGATCCACAGCATTCCTCAAAATCATGATCATCTCACACTTCTTATGTTGTGTATCTGTCTTGTTTTATGTGGATGCAGAAGTTGCATTTTTTGGGGACAATTTGGATAAATATCATCGAGAGCATAAAGAGGCTTTAGCCATCAAACAGAAAAGACCCCTGGGAATTCTGCTGGTGGATACTACACAACTGAAGGACAGACTTATACCATCCCCTCTGCACTGCATAGAGGTAACACACTGTCAGAAACACACACATTGAAACAGAATATACAGAAATAGAAAATGGATTCCTCCTGTAATATTTGCATTCCCACTGTTTGACCCCAACACAGTTGGCTATAGGGCACATAAATGCACAGATTGCCCACCTCATTTTGAACCCCCTTTTTCAGGCTATTAATGACATCCTACCTCGGCTAGCAAAGAAAAAGATGGATGACATCATTGCAGAAGCTCAGGATGCCCAGTTCAGACTGGACTTTGTTCCAACAGTAACCAGGGAATACGTCAACTCCCTTAACTTCCTGGAGGAAATTCAGAAGAGGGTAAGAATCAAAAGAGAACCATGACCCATCAATAAGTTTTGTAGTGATTTAAACAATCATTCTTGCAATCTATTGAGTATCAGACATCAGATGGCGATTTGTTCAGATGTATTTAATGTATCTTTCTTTTCTTTTTTTCTTTTTTTTCAAGATTGAGGTGCTGGAAAAGGAGACTTCGACTGTCTGTGAGATGTACAAGTTGATTGAGAGTTACTCTGTCCCCACCCCTCCTGAGGATATTGCAGTGTATGCCACTTTGCCGCCATGTGTAACTGCCATAAAGAACACCATCGACAAAGCGGTGGGAGAGCGAGACTCTAATGTGGACAAATTTTGCCAACACCTCCAGCAAGATATCAACCAACTTAACAACAATGTGTTGGCAGTAAAAGAGCAAGCGGAGGTGAAAGAAAGGAGAGAGAATGAGAGAGAAAGAAATAGTAATAGTATATCAGAATAATTTGCTGAAATCATTAATAATAAGTATATTATACACATATACATACTGTTTAAAATTTTTGGGTCATTAAGATTTTTTTGTGTGAACTGTTAAAGAAATGAATACAATTTCAATTAAAATTAAAAGAATTTTTTTTATTCAGGAAAGATTAACTTGAACAATAGTGACAGTAAGTACTGTCAGATTGTTACAAAAGATATACTGTATATATATATATATATATATATATATATATATACGTATACAGTATATACGTATATATATTTTAAATGCTATTCTTTTGAAGATTCATAAAAGAATCCTGAAAAAATGTTAAATGGCTTCTGTTAAAAAATATTAAGCAACCTTAATATGATATAAAACTATATAAAATATTAAGCAGCAAAGCACAACATTGATAGTCATGTTTCTTTCAATCATGCAAAGACTGGAGTAATTGCTGCTGAGAATTTAACTTTGCCATCACAGGAATAAATTACATTTTAAAATGTAGAAAACAAAAGTTATTAAAGTTATTTTAAATTAATATTTCAGAATATTACTGTTTTTACTGTATTCTTTGCTTGAATAAATGCAGTCTGCTTGAGCAAAAGTAGTGTATATCCAAATTTAACATGGTACTGAACTGGTAATGTGAAATACTGAAACCCTGCTGAAGCACTCACAGCCTGTTTTTATGTTTGTTGGATGGATTTTGCCTCTCCAGAACCATCAGCTCCTTGACATTGATGCAGATCGCTCTAACATACGCCGGTTGCTGGGAGATATTCAGATCTCAATCGATGAGTTGCAGGCTCAAGCCTTCAAATATAAAACCTACCAGAAGAACTTTAAGGTCAGTGTGTCTCTCTGTCCAGCAGAGGGCACATTTTCTTAATTTATTCTCTGCACATTTTGCTTTGGGTTTGTCTGTCTGATCATCATGAGTTATCTATGTATATAAAAATAATAATCTGTATTTGTTTATGTAGGTGGAGGTGACTAAATATGACACTTTAGAGGAACTGACTGCTGAAGTGAAGCTGAAGCAGCTACTCTGGGACTCTCTGGAAGAATGGGAAAATCTAGAGAACAGCTGGTTGCAGGTCATTTTAAGGGGGTCATTTTTTACTTTTGAAATATTTGACTTTTTCCTTTCACTGAAATCCATTTAAGGGTTGTCAAGACATACAAAGCAACCTAAGAGTTACTGAGATACACAGTCATGCTTGTCATAATTATGCCCTTAAAAAAGGAATTTTATGATTTATAACTTCAGCTGAAGTGTCCCGGTAAATGGTGTGCTGGTAGCCATTTTGAATGAAAGTGTCCTTTAAATGTCAAATGGTCAATTATCTCTTTGATACAGAATAAGTTCGATGAGCTGGATCCAGAATTGCTGAGCAGGCAGATGAATAAGTTTGGCAAATATGTCAGCCAGCTGGAAAAAGGACTGCCACCAAACAATGTGGTGCCCTGCCTCAAAGAGAATGTGGAGAGGATGCGAGAAAAGGTGGGTCAGGTTGGCACTTATTCGAGTGTGTCATTGCTCTTTAACTGCCTCCTCGTTTGAAGTTGACTGCTGTATTTTGCATTGGCCCATGGGAAAATTTCTAAACCCCATAACAAAGTGTAGTAGGCCTATTTAGGAGTGCTCTCCCATTCAAAGTTTTAGGGTCAGTATGATTTAATAAAAAAAAAAATGTTTTTTTTTTCCAAAAAGTCTGTTAAAGTTTTTTTAATATCAGTATATTGTCAAATAATTCATTCCTATGATGACAAAGCTGAATTTTCAGCAGCTACAATATATTCAGTATTCCTGTATTCAGTGTGACATGATCCTTCTGAAATCATTCATATATCATGATGATGCTTAGGTAACATTTCATATTATCAATATATATTATCAATTTTGAAAATGATTGCGTTCCTCAATATGTTTGTGTAAACTGTGATACTTTTTTCAATCTTCATTGATGAACAGTTCAAAAAAACAACATGTATTTGAAATAGAAAGTGTGTGTAACATAAATGTCTACTGTCACTTTTGATCAATTTAGTGTTTTGTGAATGGAAAAACATGTTGTGAACACTTTTAAAAAATGTAGTGTATGTATGCATCTGTGTATTTAACGTTCTGTGTTTGCGTAGTTGCCAGTGATCACAGACCTGCGTAACCCATGTCTGAAAGCTCATCATTGGGAAATGCTGGAGGAAATTGTGGAAGCCAAACTACTGGAAGAGCCACTGACTCTCGCCTTCCTGCAAGAACTCAACATCTTCAACTTTGGACCACAAATACAGGAGGTGAGAGAAACACTGATGCTCTTAAAAACTTTCTGATATACTTTCCTAAACAACATTTTTGGGCATCATAGACGCTTTCCAAATTTCCATAACAAGTTGTCTTGGTATGCAGCTCACTAGGTATTGAAGTGCAACCTGACAGGAAGGAGTAAATCAGTGTATATTTGCTAAAGATTCTTCTTGTAACCTTATGAATCCTCTTAAACTCTCAGGTGTCAGCACAAGCCTCAGGAGAAGCATCTCTGGAGAATATTCTGAAAAAGGTGATAGCTATGATTCTAATTCTCTTTTAACAACATTTTTACATGTCCTTATATTCATCTTCACACACACTTACTTTTGATAGATTGAGGAATCCTGGAAGACAACAGAGTTTGTGGTGCTGTCTCATCGGGACTCCAAGGATGTGTTTATCCTCGGAGGAACCGATGATATTCAGGTAGGAATGTGTTGGAGTTTTCAGACTGTTAAACCATTAGATTTATGTGTAATTATCATTAAAACCTAACATTTCCTTGCGTATTAGTAATATTTGTATTTTGTCTGTGTGAATGTAAATTTTGTAGGTGCTTCTCGATGACAGTATAGTCAATGTCGCCACAGTTGCTTCATCACGTTATGCTGGCTCCGTCAAGGCCAGAGTAGACAAGTGGCAGAGACTGCTCCTTATTTTCAGCCAGACCTTGGTAATCAGAGTGGTGATCATCAAATACATTGATTTTTGATTTTTGTTTCGATAAATCAAACATTCTCTATCTCTCTTCTACTCTTTGTAGGAAGAGTGGTTGGTGTGTCAGAGAAGCTGGCTTTATCTTGAGAGTATTTTCAGTGCTCCTGACATCCAGAGGCAGTTGCCTGCTGAGTCTAAGATGTTCCTGCA